GGGTCTCGGGTTTTGGGGGCAGTTTGGGGGTCTGGGGGGGCAGTTTGGGGGTCTCGGGGGGTTTTGGGGGCAGTTTGGGGGTCTCGGGGGGTTTTGGGGGCCCTGCTGAGCTGTCCCCGCAGGTGGCCGAGCTGGAGGCGCTGCCCCGCGACGTTTCCCGCGCCGTTTACACCCAGCGCATCCTGGAGATCGTGGGCAACATCCGCAAGCAGAAGGAGGAGATCGGGAAGGTGGGGGCTGGGGGAATTCTGGGGGGGGGGTCCCAAGTCCGGTGGGGGGGGGGGGGCAGAGTTTTGGGGTTCCTCAGGCAGCCTGGAGGGGTTGGGTCCTATCTGGGGTTTTGGGGAGGAGCTGGGGGGGCTGTGTGGGGCTGGGGAGGGGTTTTGGGGGGTCCTGACCCCCCCGGGACACCCCCAGATCCTGGAGGACACTCGGGCGCTGCAGAAGGAGATCAACGCCCTGGTGGGGAAGCTGGAGAGGACGTTCAGCGCCACCGACGAGCTGCTCTTCAAGGTGGGGGTCCCGGGGGGGCAGCTTGGGCTCTGGGGACCCCCAGAACGGGGCCACACTGCAATTCTGGGGGGGCCGGAGGGAGGGGGGCACCCCCTGATGGGACATCCCCAAAGGGATGAGGCGCTGGGACCCCCCAAACTGCCACACGTGCCCCCCAAACTCTCCCTGACCCCCCAAACTGTCCCTGAGCCCCCCCAGAGTGTCCCTGAGCCCCCAAACTGTCCCTGAGCCCCCCAAACTGTCCCTGAACCCCCAAACTGTCCCTGAACCCCCCCAAACTGTCCCTGACCCCCCAAACTGTCCCTGAACCCCCAAACTGTCCCTCCCCCAGGATGCCAAGCGGGACGAGGTGGTGAGAAAAGCCTACAAGTACCTGGCAGCTCTGCACGAGGTAACGGGGGCTGGGGGGGTCCGGGGGGGTCACTGGGGGAAAAGGGGGGACTGGAATTTTGGGGGAGTCCCTAAAAACCCCTCTTTTTGTCCCCCAGAACTGTGCCCAGCTGATCCGGACTATCGAGGACACGGGGACCATCCAGAGGGAGATCCGGGACCTGGAGGAGCAGGTGGGGGTTTGGGGGGTCTGGGTTTGGGGGGGCCGGGTGTGTTTGGGTGGGGGGAGTGGATTTCCGGTGCCTCTGGGGGCCCCCCCAGATCTATTGGGGTGTTGACCCCTCGTGTCCCTTTGTGCCCCTCCCCACCTCTTTCTGTCTCATTTTTACCCTCCCTGCTGCAATTTCTCCTCCCCCCATTTTGTCCCCCCAATTTTTCCCCCCCCATTTCTGCCCCCTCCCCATTTTCAACCCCCCCAGATCGAGGGGGAGACCAGTGCCAAGCTCCCGGCCAGCCTGGAGCGGATCCTCGGCGACTGCCGGGCGCTGCGGGAGGAGAACGCGCTGCTGGCAGCTCGTGCCCGCCACGCCTGACCCCAAAACCGGGGGGAGGGACCCCAGAACCCCCCGGGAGGGACCCCAGAACCCCAAAAGCGGGGGGGCCCGGCGGGGTGTGGGGGAGCCCGCGGTGGGAGGGGAGAACGGCTCCTTTATGGTTCAATAAATGCCGGTGCAGCAGTTTGGGGGTGTCGTGTTGCTCGTGGCGGGGAGGGTTTGGGGGTGTCCCGTTCCTCCTGGGAGGGGGGGTCTCGGGGGTGGTTTTGGGGTCCCCCCTCAGCTCCGGGGGGGCATAAAGTACTTGAGGTCACAGTCCCTGTGGAGGTTAGAGGAGCATCCCGGGGTTATCGGGGTGCTCTGGGGAGGGGGTTGTGCACCCCCCGGGGTTTTGGGGTGCCTGGGGAGGGGTTTTTGGGGTACCTGGGGTAGTGCTGGCCCCGCTTGCGCCGGAACTCGGCCTCGTCCACGGTCCAGACGGCGCCGCGAGCGGCCTCCACCCGCACGAAGCACTTGTGCAGGCTCAGGTTGTGGCGCACGGCGTTCTGCAGAGGGGACACCCCAAAATCGCCGCGGGACCCCGGAACTGGGGGGGCTGGACAACGCCCCCCCCATTCCCTGAGGGATTTCGGGGGGATCTGGGGAGGGTTTAGGGGGTTTTGAGGGTGTTGGGGAGGCGGTGGGGGTCTCTGAGCTGTGCTGGGTGGGTCCGGGGGGGGTTTTGGGGGTTCCCGGGGGGTTGTTGGGTGTTCCTGGGGGGGTTTTGGGGGTTCCCGGGGGGGTTTTGGGGGTTCCCGGAGGGGTTTTGGGGGGTCCCGGGGGGGTCCCCACCTTCCAGGTGCGGGTGTTGTGCCGGAAGAAGCCGAACCTGCGGCTGAACCAGTGGTAAATCTCCGCCAGGGGGCGCTGCCGCTGCGGGGACTCCAGGATGGCCTGGG